AATTACTTTTTTTTTTTTTTTTTTTTTTTTTGAGTTATCCAAGGTAATTTACAGATGTTACTGGGTACAATAATTGTATTTATGTGGACCTGTACCTAAGTAAACCTAATTAGTCTAAGAATTTGCTTAACTATATTTTAGTTTTCCATAGGAAGCAAATCTTCTGGTAATACCGTGCTTCTCTTGTATTTTGGTTCTGTTTTCATTTACATGTTATGTATGAATGTATGTCGGGGATGAATATCAGTATAAGAGAACATTTTCTTATGTAGCAGAATGGGATTTAATTTGGGTAATATTTCAGTCATAGCAGAGCTTTTTCTCCCAGGTCTTTGTAATTTGATAAACCTCTTTTCTGTTTTTTATACGCACCGGCCATCTCCTGCCAAGGCACGGTGACCCAAAAAAGAAGGAAACAAAAGTTTTTTGCCTTTTCACATGTATTTATACAGGAGAAGGGGTTACTGGCCCTTTAATCCCAGCATTTCAGTTGCCTAAATAACAAAAAAAGGCACAATACCGTGACTGGAACGATACACAAATAACCCGCACATAGAAGAGAGGAGCTTACGACGACGTTTCGGTCCGACTTGGACCATTTACAAAGTCACACTAACCAGAAGTGGAGCAGGACGGCTATATATAGGCAGGAAGAGGTAGTGGTGGTAGTAGTAGTAGTAGTGGGGAACTAAGGAGGAGGAGCCAGTCAAATATAAAGAAAGGGGAACACTGCAAGGGAGCTAGGTGTCCACAGAGGGAGAGCAAGTGCACAGAGGTGGGGGAAGGGGAAGTGATGAAATAAATAATGAAGGAACAGAAACACGCGACAGAAGAAAGATAAAAAAAGGAAAGAGGAAAGGGGAAGAGTGAGAGGAAGAAAAAATGAGGAATCAGGTTAAGTCACGGGTGTTCTGAAGTTTGGAGCATTTTGCATTGTAGTGGGAGAGGAAGGTATCTACAGAGACGAAGCCACGACTAAGATTCATACAAGGAAAGTTGCGTATTAGAGAGGATTCAACCAGACGACGACTGTTAGAGTTGGAAGTAGGGAAGACAGTTTTAGCGGAAGACCAGTCTATAGGATGGCTGTGATCTCTGACTTGACAGAAAAGAACATTGTTAGTGTCGGCAAGCTTAACACTATTTTTGTGCTCCCTGAGTCTGTCAGAAAGAGATCGACCAGTTTCTCCAAAGTATTGAAGAGGACAGGAGGAGCAAGAAATAGAGTAGACACCAGAAACATCTGTAGAGGGAGGAGAGGTATGAACGAGATTAGTGCGAAGAGTGTTAGTCTGGCGGAAAGTAAGCTTGATGTCTAAGGGACGAAGAGAATTGTTGAGATTAGAAAGACCGGAAATGTAGGTAAGGCAGAGGACAGAAGAGTTCCCAGGAGTAGAGAGTTTGGGAGAGAAGAAATTACATTTAGCACGTGAGAGGGCAGAGTCTATGAAATGGGAAGGGTAGCCAAGACGGGAACACGAATTATGAAGAGTGGAAATTTCTGCTGGAAGGAACTGTGGATCACAGATGCAGAGAGCACGGAGAAAGAGGGAGATAAGAACACTTTTCTTGACAGGGGAAGCATGATAGGAAAAGTAGTGAATGTACGTGCCACTGTGCATAGGTTTGCGGTAAACGGAAAAGGAAAAACCTGTATCTGAGCGGTGGACATGGACATCAAGGAAAGGAAGCAAGGAATTAGATTCCCATTTGGTCCAAGTCGGACCGAAATGTCATCGTAAGCTCCTCTCTTGTATGTGTGGGTTATTTGTTTCAGTTGCCTCTTACAACATACTTGCCTTACAGAGGAAGGACTCTTCTCCACTTCCCCATGAAGAAAAGTTGTTTCTATACTGAAATGTTGTCTCAGTAAACTCTTTTACTGCTATATATATCTTTGCCTATTCCTGGCAGTAGGACACCTTCAACCAGTGTACTTTCTTGTTGTCTCTGAAAAACACAGGTCATAAATAACCTACGAGACGACCACTATAACAACAAAGTGCATTTGCTTACTAATGGCTTTCTTTTTTGCCTAACAATTTTTTTTTTACACACAAACTACTTTATCTTTTTCCTGCGTATAAAAGAAATAAAAGTTTGAATTTGGACCGCTGGACCATTGTCAAGTTACAACTCGACAGTGGTCAAGGATGGACCAAAGTTACAACTCGACAGTGGTCAAGGATGGACCAAAGTTACAACTTGACAGTGGTCAAGGATGGACCAAAATTACAACTCGACAGTGGTCAAGAATGGACCAAAGGGTCGTCATGAGGTTCACTGGACCACTGTCAAGTTACAACTCGACAGTGGTCAAGGATGGACCGAAGTTACAACTCGACAGTGGTCAAGGATGTACCAAAGTCACAACTCAACAGTGGTCAAGGATGGACCAAAGTTACAACTCGACAGTGGTCAAGGATGGACCAAAGTTACAACTCGACAGTGGTCAAGGATGGACCAAAGTTACAACTCGACAGTGGTCAAGGATGGACCAAAGGGTCGTCATGAGGTTCCTCTCCTATGTGCAGGTTATTTGTGAATTGTTCCAGCCATGGAATTGTGACTTTTTATTTGATATTGTTGGTATCATGACTTTTTACAAATGTATCCAAAACATCCCAGTGGTCAAATTATCCCAGCTCTTTTCCACTTAGTGTACATCTTAGACAAGCCTGTTAGTATGGCTTTCTTTTGTAGTCAGTGAGTAGATGGGAGTAGATAGACATATTAATAATGATACATATATATTCATTACACAACCCACACATAGGAGAAAGAAACTTATGACAACATTTTGGTCCGACGTGGACCATTAATTTCGTCGGATTAGTCGTGTATTGTTTCAGTCACGGTATTTTCCTTTTTGTTCTTTATATATTCTGAAGCATTTGTTTGCAGCTTACAAATAACATTTGTTTGCAGCTTACAAATACCAGAAACATAAATATAATAACAGCAAACATTAACATACTTCAGGAAATTTGCTTAATTGTAAAGAAATGTTTGCTGTTGCCTTTATATATTAAAACTGGCTTCAAGTCAGTACCTGACCAGCCGGGCTGTGGTTCGTATGTCAGTTTGCATGTGGCCAGCAGTAACAGCTTGTTTAATCAGACCCTGATGCACCACGAGGTCTGGTCTCTGACCAACCCGCGGGGGCGTTGACCCCTGAAACCCTCCAGGTATAGTCCAGGTATAAGTTTTATGTTCTTGCTGTTTACCAAGAATGATAATTGGAGATTTTGTGATTTTTATGAGACTGTTCTTTCAAGAAATTCACAAGCGATTAGACACCAAGTCATAATGCAACAACAGTATTTAGGAGTCACAGTGTTATGCTTTATATAACAATGGGAAGTAGAACAGAAATCTTCCTCTGTAAGCCATGCGTGTCATAAGAGGCGACTAAAATGCCGGAAGCAAGAGGCTAGTAACCCCTTGTCCTGTATACATTACTACGTTTAAAAAGACAAACTTTTTTTTTTTTTTCTTTTTTTGATCACCCTGCCTTGGTGAGATATGGCTGGTTCATTGAAAAAAAAATGTCGAGAACTCTAATTGTATAATACACTGTATTCCACTTTATAGAAATAAAGTTTGTATTGTGTTTAAGCTCTGGAAAGAAGCGTATTTTCAACCAAGACTTCAAAACATGAATGTTACTTGTTTCAGTGAAAAGAAATAAGGCTTTTTCTATTATTACTATATTTATTTTCTACTTAGTATTAAAATATCATAAACACTGATAGATGAAAAGTAAAAAGACTAAGATAAGATAAGATAAGATTTCATTCGGATTTTTAACCCCGGAGGGTTAGCCACCCAGGATAACCCAAGAAAGTCAGTGCGTCATCGAGGACTGTAACTTATTTCCATTGGGGTCCTCAATCTTGTCCCCCAGGATGCGACCCACACCAGTCGACTAACACCCAGGTACCTATTTGCTGCTAGGTGAACAGGACAACAGGTGTAATGAAACGTGTCAAAATATTTCCACCCGCCGGGAATCGAACCCGGGCCCTCCGTGTGTGAAGCGGGAGCTTTATTCTATCATTTTGACTCGTGAAATCGTAACGACATGGTTGTCCCACTGATTGTACAATTTTTTTCTCTGATTTGTTTGATTGTGTGATACTGTGTAAACCAAGAACACTTAAAAAAATTAGTGTCTGGTAATTGTGAATTCTCTTCACATTTTAAGGCATAAAGGAAGTTGTTGATCACTTAGAATGATTCAGAATTTATGTCCATGCCCTTAGCTAATCACTTGGAATTAGAATTTATATCCATACTCTGTCTTGCTGGGAAGGTATGTCTGTGGTAAGCTGTGGCATGTGACGTGACCTTGACTTTGTAACTGTTTTGTTTCACTTTTGTCTTGGTATGTGATGTTATTTTCACCATTTGGCTACCTTGTTTCATTCTTGTCTTAGCATGTGACGTGACCCTTGACTATGTGACTGTTTTGTTTTATTTTTGTCTTGGTATGTGATGTGACCTCGACTACATAGCTAGTTTCATCATTGTCTTAGCATGTGATGTGACCCTCAACCATGTGACTCTTGTCTCACCCTTGTTTAATTCTTCTAGTTTTCGTGTTACCATTACTGTCTTTTTTATGAACTCGGCACAAAATTATTATTTATTTGTGATGTAGATTGTACACAAAATATTAATTTTGTGATATCAAAGTGTAGATAATTGAGTACATGTAATAATTTTAGGCATATATAGCATAATTATGAAACATTTAATAGCATAGGATCTTCTAACAGAATATTAGAATGTACAATATTTCTGGCACTTTGCTGTAGTTGGAGTAGTGTAATATTTGTCACCATTGTCTCAAAAATACAGGTAAAGCTTGCATGGTTTGTTCCTGTAATGCATGATAGTTTAATGCCATGCAGTGAAAGGTGGGACCAAGAGCTGGAGCTCGCCCCCCATTCCTCAGAAAACTCAGTTAGGTAACTGTTGTTCCTTCATATCTACAGAAGCAACAAGAACAAAAGGGAGTGAAGGAATTAATAGTATTGGATCCTAAGCGTTCTAACGTCATCAACATTGGCATGACCAAGTTGCCGCCACCGCGGACCATCAAGACTGCAATTCTCAAAATGGATTCTTCAATCATCAACAGAGAAGGAATAGAGGTGATATTTTTCTGTCTTTAAGAGTTTCTATTTTACTTTTATGTATATTTATGAATGTAGTACCTTTGATATACCTTTGATAAGTTCTGAGAGTTTTTCTACTTCCGGAGCCCAGCCTTGAACCAGGCTTGTCTGGTGCTTGCCTGGTCAACCAGGCTCTTGTAGTATATTCAAGTTTACCCCAACTAAGAAATGAATATGATTCTCACCCCAAATTTTTTTTCCTTGAGTGAGTTTTGCAACTTTTAACCCCTAATTATAAAAATAATATCTTTATATTTGTACAAGTACATGTACAAGGTATACAGGCCTAGCTGACATCAGTGACACTCACTCAATTACCTTAAATCATATCTTAGCAATAGACACCAGTATGCATACACAAATGGTCTTGCCTCCACCACACAACCTGTTGTAGTTGGAGTCTCCCAGGGCAGCGTCATTGGACCATTACTCTTTCACATTTCTCATTTACATCAGTGACCTCCCTAATGCCTCCAAATAACTTAAACCTGTTCTCTTTGTAGATGACACTACCTATATCTTCTCTCAACCAAACCAAACCATACTTAGAAACACTGTAAACGATGAGCTGCTAAAAATATCCACCTCGATGACGGGCAACAAACTTACTTTCAGTATCGACAAAACCTACTTCATACTGCTTGGTAACAGAGCTACAAATATTCAGCTAAACATATTGATAAATGGTTCCTCCATTTCAAGACACACTGTCTTAAATTTCAGACTCGCATAAAGAATATTTCTCCAAAAAATCTCCAAAACAGTAGGCATCCTCTCTAAGATACGGTACTATATACCCCAAATGGCACATCTTGCCTCACCTATGGAATTTGTGCATGGAGCTCAACCACAGCAAATCACCTTAAACCTTTAATTATACAACAGAAAGCTTTTGCGAGAATGATTACAAACTCCTGCACCAGGCAACACACCCCACCACTATTTAAGAGCTTGAACCTGCTTAATATACAAAATATCCACTTATATTATTGAGCCTACTACATACACAGAATATTATTTCCAATATAAAGTCTCCTCTCAAACTCCTCCTTGAGAACTACAATAGAACACACTTGCTTAACACAAGACACAAAACACTCTTTGATATCCCTCGTGGCCATCTTTCCCTATGCAAAAATGCAATGCATATAAAGGGCCCTAAGATCTGGAATTCATTGCCTGAAAATACAAAAGTGCTTCTGCCTGGACACCTATTCAAGGCTCTGCTTAGAACTCACCTCGCCTCCCAAAATTAACAACACAAACACTATGTACTATCTCCACCATCAACCCCAAAATTGCCAAATTTTATAAGATTATTTTAAAACTAAAATGGTCTCAATCTCATTATGTATAACGTGCTAAAATATAAAAACTTTAACTTGTTATTCAACTACTTGTTAATTACTGCTAAACCACTGCTACCTCTGTTCATATATAAAAAACAATGTTCAAGTCGAACCAACTATGATATACAGTGGTCCCTCGTTTATCCTTGTTAATCCGTTCCTGGAAGTGCGACGATTATCTAAAAAGACGATTTTCAAATCAATTTTCCCCATAAGAAATACTGTAAATACAATTAATCCGTTCCTAACACTTAGAAGTATTAAAACAAAAAATTTTTTTACATGAAATATAGATGTAGTACATAAACAATACAATGGGACATGATGAATGAAACATTAACAGCATAACACTTACCTTTATTGGTGATTCTTCTTAGTGTATGGGAGACTGGAGGAGGAGAGAGAGTGGATTACTGTTTGGAAGGGGAATCCCCTTCCATCAACACCTCAGGTACCAAGTGCTTTTCTGGGGTTACTTCTCTTCTGTTTCTTAATGCCACTAGGACCAGCTTGAGAGTCACTGGAATCCTGTCTCGCAAAAAAACTGTCCAGAGAGCTCTGTTTCTGGCGTCTCCTTAAAACTTCCCTAAAATGGGCCAAGACTCTGTCACTGTACAAGTTGCCGATATGGCTTGCAACATCCTTCTCAGGGTGATGTTTCTCCATAAATCTTTCCATCCTACCCCACATTTCAAAAATCTTTCTTTCTGAAGAAGGTACCTTCTTCCATCTCTCTTCCTCTTCCTTCCTCCTCCTTGTTTATCCACACCAATAATAACTTCTCAACCTCTTCGAGTACCGGTGATCTCATTTTTGTCAGCATATTTACCCCCTTTGCAACAACAGCTTCCTTGATTCCCTTTTTCTTGGCCACGATAGAAGACATGGTTGTACAGGATATGTTATACATCCTGGCCAGTTCGGCCACACGTACACCACTTTCATATTGTTCATTGATGTTTTTCTTAAATTGAATCATATTTCTCACCTTCTTTACCACAGGCTTGGCATTAGGAGCTTTCTTTGGAGCCATGGTAGCTTATTTAGCACTTGCAAACACTAAAATAAATGGAATATTCTGAAATACAGTGGACCCCCGGCTTACGATATTGTTTCATTCCAGAAGTATGTTCAGGTGCCAGTACTGACCGAATTTGTTCCCATAAGGAATATTGTGAATTAGATTAGTCCATTTCAGACCCCCAAACATACACGTACAAATGCACTTACATAAATACACTTACATAATTGGTCGCATTGGGAGCTGATCGTAAACCGGGGGTCCACTGTATTTCGTATGAACGCGTGAACGGACTGTCACTCACTGGTAACCAGTGGTACACTGGCTGGAAAGGGAGGCCAAGGCGGCTCAGAGCCGTGAGTACGCGTCCAGGACGAACGACGATTAGCGAGTCAACCGACCATTTGCGAGCCAATGTTTGGACGAAAATAACGCGACAATTTCCGAAAAGGACGACTGTCGAGCCCGACTGTTATCGAGGGACCACTCTATATGTCTAGTACATGTATTAAGTAGTCTGTAAAGTATTAGGTTTAGACTGCCTGAAATGCCTCGGCATGATAGTGGCTTTCTTTGTACTTAGCAAATCAATATTGTAATTATACATTGTAAACTATGCATGGAAATAGACTCCTCATAACATGTCAGTCACACATTGTAAACTATGCAAAGAAATAAAAATTTGAATTTGAATACTACTGTATAGAAAACCACTTGTTATGCAGAGCATTTCAGGCAAATTAGGTCAGTTTTGCAATGGGATGCAACCCTCACCAGTTGACTAAAACCCAGGTACCCGTTTTACTGATGGGTTAATGTGGACAGCCTGTGTAACGAAACTTGCCCAATGTTTCAACCCTCACCGGGAATCAGACCTGGACCCTCACCATGTGAAGCAAGAACTTTTGCCACCAGGCCACTGGCCATTCCATCTGTGGTCTTGTTTGTCCTTCACCAAGCTTCATGACTTTACACTTGGTGGGGTTAAACTCCAGGAGCCATTTATTGGACTAGGCTTGCATTGCTGTTGTTCCACTTAACAAAATACTGTAGTTAGATTAGTGATGTTCCAGTTAACAAATGAATCACATTCCTGGTATTCCAGTTAATGAAGGAATTGTTAATTTAATGACTTGGACTTCATTTTCTTTGTTCAACACACCAGCCATCTCTCACCAAGGTAGCAGTGTGAAGTCGCCACAACAGAAAGGAAGCACATTTACCATCGTTCTCTATGTCACTGTCTTGCCAACACACCAGCCATCTCTCACCAGGTAGTGGTGACTCACCACAACAAATAGGAAGCACATCCACCATCATTCATTCTGCCACTGTCTTGCCAGAAGTGAGATGACACCTCAGTTCAGATGAACCTTCCAACACCAACATCTTCGTCTCTTCTGTAGTGTAGTCAGTTTAAACCTCATTGATAAATGTGGATGTTTATTACATTTGTATACTTGTACACCTGTACACTTGTACACTTGCACTTCTGTACACTTGTACACATGTACACTTGTATACTTGTCCACCTGTATACTTGTACACCTGTACACTTGCACACCTGTACACTTGCACTTCTGTACACTTGTACACTTGTATACTTGTACACCTGTCCACCTGTACACTTGTACACCTGTACACTTGTACACCTGTACAATATTTAGATAGCTTGTAAGTCCTCTTAATAATTTAATGATTTATTCTAGACTTTGTTAATAATAATTAGGCCTATTTTATTTCTAATGGTCATGAGATCCTAACTGAATAAGAAACCCCTGGCTGTCTTGAAGAAGGCACTGGACAGGTATGTAAAGCCATTACCTGACCAACCTGGCTGTGGTTCCTATGTCAGTCTATGTGCTGCCAGCAGTAACAGCCTGCTTGATCAGACCCTGGTCCACCATGAGACCTGGTCATAGACCGGGCCATGGGGGCGTTGATCCTCCAAACCCCCTCCAGGTATACTCCAGGACCTGGTCATAGACCGGGCCATGGGGGCATTGATCCTCAAAACCCCCTCCAGGTATACTCCAGGACTGGTCATAGACTGGGCCATGGGGATGTTGATCCTCAAAACCCCTTCCAGGTATACTCCAGGACCTGGTCATAGACGGGGCCATGGGGGCGTTGATCCTCAAAACCCCCTCCAGGTATACTCCAGGACCTGGTCATAGACCGGGCCATGGGGGCGTTGATCCTCAAAACCCCCTCCAGGTATACTCCAGGACCTGGTCATAGACCGGGCCATGGGGGCATTGATCCTCAAAACCCCCTCCAGGTATACTCCAGGACCTGGTCATAGACCGGGCCATGGGGGCGTTGATCCTCAAAACCCCCTCTATACTCCAGGACCTGGTCATAGACTGGGCCATGGGGGCGTTGATCCTTAAAACCCCCTCCAGGTATACTCCAGGACCTGGTCATAGACCGGGCCATGGGGGCGTTGATCCTCAAAACCCTCTCCAGGTATACTCCAGGACCTACAAGTGACAGTGTTTTCCACTGAATAACTAATTTTGATATCTTACAGAAATTATTGACTACGATGTTGCCAACACCAGAAGAGAAGCACAAGATTCAAGAAGCTGCCATTTGCAACCCTGAACTTCCTCTGGGGTCGGCAGAACAGTTTCTGATGATGCTGTCGTCCATATCTGAACTTCCCGCCAGATTAAAACTCTGGATCTTTAAGCTAGACTATGAGAACATGGAAAAGGTAATAACAGAAACAGGGTAATTTTTCTCCCTTTCATCAGAATTTGCTGTGACATTTAACTGATGACTGACATGGTTGCTTTGCCTGTGTTGCTCTCTGAGACTTCTACCTTTATTGCAGAATTTTTTAACAGCATTTTCCCTTATTTACCCACCCATTCTGTTCATGTCCTCCCCTCAACACCTCCTCTTCTATTCTGAAATCTTGTTCACCTCTGCCATGTTCCACTAAATGAACCTTGTGGGTTTAGCACTTTCCATGAATATAATAATACTGATGCATGGAAATGCTTCTTCACGCCATAAGAAATTCTACTTAATACTCTAATTCTTAAGTCTTTGAACATTCTAGTTAGTCTGCCGGAATTGCATTACTGACTTTTTTCTTGTGCCTAACAATGTTTTGTTACATATAAACTACAATATTTTAGGTAGGTTGGTAGACAGCAACCACCCAGGGAGGTACTACCATCCTGTGGTAGTAGGTTGGTAGACATCAACCACCCAGGGAGGTACTACCATCTTGTGGTAGTAGGTTGGTAGACAACAACCACCCAGGGAGGTACTACCATCCTGTGGTAGTAGGTTGGTAGACATCAACCACCCAGGGAGGTACTACCATCCTGTGGTAGTAGGTTGGTAGACAGCAACCACCCACGGAGGTACTACCATCCTGTGCTACTAAGTTAGTAGACAGCAACCACACAGGTAGGTACTATTGTCCTGCCAAGTGAGTGTAAAATGGAAGCCTGTAATTGTTTTACATGATGGTAGGATTGCTGGTGTTTTCTGTTTGTCTCATAAACATGCAAGATTTCAGGTACGTCTTGCTACTTGTATTTACACTTACGTCACAATGCACATACATGTACAAGCATATATATATACACATACCTATCTGGGTTTTCTTCTATTTTCTTTCTAGTTCTTGTTGTTTATTTCCTCTTATCTCCATGGGGAAGTGGAGCAGAATTCTTCCTCCATAAGCCATGTGTGTTGCAAGAGGCCACTAAAATGCCGGGAGCAAGGGGCTAGTAACCCCTTCTCGTGTATATATTACTGAATGTAAAAGGAGAAAGTTTCGTTTTTCCTTTTGGGCCACCCCGCCTCGGTGGGATACTGCCGGTGTGTTGAAAGAAGAAAGAAAAAAAATAAAGAAAATTTGTTTGAAACTTGAGTGTTGATGATGACAGTGATCAGTCAGACTCTTGCTAAATAAAATTTCCTGTCTGTTTGCAATAGGAGGTGGCAGAACCCTTGATGGACTTGAAGCAAGGCACAGAAGACCTTCAAAAGAATCGCACTTTCAAGATAATCTTATCTGTTCTTCTCTCCATTGGTAACTTCCTTAATGGCACAGAATGTCGAGGCTTCCAAATTGAGTACTTGTCCAAAGTGCCGGAGGTGAAGGATACCGTTCATAAACATTCACTTCTTCACCATCTGTGTCACATGGTTATTGAAAAATATTCAGATACATCAGATCTTTATTCGGAGGTAAGTGCTTTAAATGTCTTCTTATGATATTGACTGTATAGCTATTCTTTAGATGCTATATTTTGTAATTTGCCTTTATTTTTATGTGCTGGCCATCTCGCACGGAAGCAGAGCAACCTAAAAAGAAAAACATATCTGAAGAGCATGGCTGCCAGCCATCACTACATGGCTGATTCAAGGAACCAATTTTCCCGATTCTGAAGTATTTCACGTTAAATAAGTCTTACTAGCTATAGCTGTTATCTCAGGCAAAGACGTATTTCATGTACAGTTTCTCGCTGATGAAGTGTCTGGGAATGAGGGTACAAATAAAGTTTTCGATGAAGAGGTGTCTAATTCAACATCAAAATTTATTTTTATATCGGGGGACATGTGAGATTTTTTGAGGTGCCAAGGTGGGGTACGATGCGAAAAAGGTTGGGAGCCACTGTCTTAGACATTGAGTGCAAATTAACCTCTTAAATTTTTTTCCTGTAGATTGGCTCAATCACCCGTGCCTCGAAAGTGGACTTCGAGGAGCTGTCTAATAACATTGCCAAGATGGAGGTCGACTGTAAGGAATCATGGGATCATCTAAAAGCCATTGCAAAACACGATGGTCCTACACAGATTAAGCTCAAGTAAGATGACTATTAATGTTAATTTACAGTGCTCCACTGCACTGAGATCATTTTGCCTAAGATGTGATTTTTATAATTACCAGAAGGTACTTGTATGGTGTATTTATGGTAATTATTATTATGAGCTTTCTAGTGTAAATGTTTGTATTTTTGGGGGTTGGGAGTTTTATTGTGCATATACTTTATTACTGACAAGTTTGAGTATTAATATGAATGAGTGTATGTATGGTACTTTGTTATGGAGAAGACTGCTGAATGATCTAGTACGTAAAAGCATTCTGCAAATATTATGAGTTTCTTCCACAATGATGAGAAAGTAAGTTCATTTAGGGACAGGTAGACATAAGTATAATTATCATACCTAGCAATAGGTATGTAAATTAGACAGGATAACCTAGAAAAGACAAAGTGACTTATTCCATTTGGGATCCTTGTAATATCTTGTTCATTGTCATAATATTTGTGTTAGTGAAACATTACACAAACTGAGGTTTAATTATGCAGTTTGTATTTTCTGGCAGTGTGCTCCAGTGAACCAGTGAGTGAGAGAGTATTGGATTAAGGTCCAGGTTGAGATATTTATCAGGACAGTAAATGGGGATGTTGCAGTTCAGAGGTTCATTTAAACTGTGGTGTCTGTACACTTGCAAGACAGCTGTTGAATGAATGATTACCAGTGTGTTAACAAGTGTTCTGGACTATACATTGACAGCTGTTGAATGAATAATAATCTTTTTTTCTACAAGTACGTACATATACAAGGTATACAGACTATACAAGGTATATAGCTAACCTTAATGACATATTACTATGTATATAGAAAGCCAACCATACCACGGGCGGGATTTGAACCCGCGGTCAGAGAGTCTCAAAACGTGCAATCGTGTCATTACGATTTCGTGAGTTATATAGAAAGCCCCTTGTTATGCAGAGTGTTTTATGCATATTAGGTCACTTTTGTCCCAGGATGTGACCCACACCAGTTGATTACCACCCAGGTACCTATTTTAATGCTAGGTGAACATGCACAGCAGATGTCTTAAGGAAACATGTCCTGATGTTTCCACCTGTACCGGGGATCGACCCATGGACCTCAGTGTGTGAGCTGAGTGCACTACCAATTGAGATGTGGGACACCTGTTGATTATCAGTGTGTTTACAAGTGTCCTGGACTACACACAAATGTCTTTTTCCACATTATAGGTAATGCCTACAAATATGGCAGAAAGAGACCTGGTTCATACCAAACATTGATTGAACAAAACGATAAATCTCAACTCCATAATAAGAACTCACTCAGCATCTGTACTGTCAGTCTATAATGAAGTGTCCTAAACAGTGCTGGTGGACACTGTAAATATAGATTTAAAATAATGGACAAAATTGACTTGTTAAACTGTACTTTTGATTTCTTGATTTTTAATGTCTATTGTAACATAAGTGTACATTGTGTGTACAGTGCTATATTAGGTGTACAGTAGAGTACTTAAGTGGTTATTTATGTGTTTTTTTTTTTTAACATTATTCCATAGAATGTTTAATTCATGTTAAGTGTTAAAGCCATGTGGGTCATTCTGCACAAGATGTGGATGAGGCTTGATCCTGTGTCTGCTGAGTGGGAGAGATGAACACTAACTTTGTCATCTTTGTCTTTCAGAATGTCGGAATTTTTAGCAGACTGTGCAGAGCGTATAATTGTTCTGGGAATTATTTATCAGCGAGTGATGACCAGGTAAGGGGCACAGAAGCAGTATTGAATGTCTAGTACCATTATAAGAAAATATCAAGGTGGCCAAATTTTTAGATATCAGTAAGGATTTTTAATAATACAAAGTTTGATGCAATACGATGGCAAACAGGTGATGTTAACAGTGCAGAACAAGTCACTGTGACATGACCTGGTGCCTCAGAGAGAATTTTTTCTCTACTTTCTGTTGCTAGTTTTGCAACATTGCATAGCTCCTGATGGTGTACAGAGAGTCTGAAAGATCTTGAGCTAAAGATTTCCATCCCTATGTGGCTTGTTCTGCATAAGCTTATGAAGTTACTCAGGGAAACCAGTTAGCTGGACTTGAGTCCTGGAGGTGGAAAAGGCAGTGTCTTCACTCTGGAGGGGTGGAGATAATACAGTCAGAGGATACTTTGTAATGTCAGCACTTCTGGAAAGATGACAATTGAGTGAATGTTGGTGAATGTGGTTTCTTTGAATCTTTGGTGACCCAGGAATAATAGAATGTTTCTGTTTTGAAGTAAAAGGTAAAGTATTGTAATATTTTACTATGTGAACATTATTACAACATGAACACCTTTATGAAAGTAAATTAACCAATTTTAATAAAGAATTATTTACTCTTTCACAGTTTCACTCTGTCAGTCTTTCTTGATTGATTGATGACGTATTGCAAAGCTTTTGTTAATGTAATTTTCTAATTTTGGTGCAGCACAATGTTTGTAACTAGCAATGTTTGTGTACAGATTTCAGCGGTTTTTAGTGTGGTTGGGTTCACCGCTACACTTAGCCCAGGACATTAAGGTTCAACAAGTGTGCTCAACAATAAGTGAGTTTGCCCTGGAGTACAGGACCTGCCGAGAGCGAGTACTACAACAGATTCAGAAGAAGGCAAACCACCGCGAGAGAAATAAGACTCGCGGGAAGATGATCATGGAGGTATGCAATGACAAATGTTTGTTTAAATTTGAAAAAGTACACATTGCACTTTTTTGTACAGCAGAGAGGAATAAGATACAACTTCAGTATCAGCCATAGTGTGGGAGCATTGTGCTCTTACCTGAGCATCAGTGACAAATTTCACCTATTGTGTATCGGACACTTGTACTCACCTTATTCTGCCCAGTGGGCACATTATTATAGGGGCACTATTCATGAGGTTCATTTTTCCACTTTACGCATGTTTCACAAGTTTTGGCGAGACTTAAGTTACTGAACTCGGGTGAGGGAGTAGGTCTCCCACTCAGCTGGGGCTTTGGTAGGGGCTCCAACTGACCTGACTTGGAATGTTTTGTTCCTTTTTCTATTTGCAAAGGAAAGTCCTGTTCCCTTTCCTGTCATTTCCCAGCTTTGGGTATTATTTCTTCCCTGTACATCAGGAAGAAGGGCTTGATATGTGAAAGCTGTGAGTGGCCCTTAAAACCCTCAACAAGAAGAAAAAACATAAGACTTATGGAGAGATAATCACAGATTAATGCATATTTAAAGCTTAAGATTTATTACAGCCATCAGGAGGGTTGAAGTTGTTCTTGACTGCTAGTTCTCAAATTTATTTCTCCACGATCTATTCACATTTGCTTTCCAGTGTAAATGATGGAGGTAATTACCTAGTACCTCAGTAAATTGTGGTAGATATATAGAATATCAAAGCAAACATTTGCAAAAATAGCATTATAGACACAATCGCTGAATCTCCTTCAATTTTACGTTAGGTCACAACCCTGGGTTTGGTCGCCCCTGATGCAGATAATCACATTGCAGTGAAATATAATTGGCCTCGATTAATAGCCTTGATAGGGACAAGACAAAAGGTTCATGAATCTTGAAGCTGCAGATCATAGGAATTGTAAATGTCAGAATTATTGAAATACTGTGTGCTTTTGGCCATGTTTTTCTTTGTCAACATACTGGTCATACTGGCATGCCACTGGCAAGACAGTGTAGTGAGTGATGATGAAATTGTTTCTTCTTATACAAGTTACCCCTGCCTTTGTAGAAAATAGCTGATGTGTTAAAAAAAAAATACTGGTCATCTACTGAGGCAGGGTGACTCAAAAAAAAAAAAAAAAATCTCGTAAAGTTTTTCTTTTTTACATTAAGTAATTTATACAGGAGAAAGAGTTACTATCCCCTTACTTCCTTTTTGGCCATTTTTTTTTTTTTTTTTTTTTTCGACAAGTTGGTCGTCTCCCACCGAGGCAGGGTGACCCAAAAAAGAAAGAAAATCCCCAAAAAGAAAATGCTTTCATCATCATTCAACACTTTCACCACACTCGCACATTATCACTGTTTTTGCAGAGGTGCTCAGAATACAACAGTTTAGAAGCATATACGTATAAAGATACACAACATATCCCTCCAAACTGCCAATATCACATATCTAAGTAAATATTTATCCAGTCCACTAAATATTGACATTGATAAGGAGCAAATGGTAACACATTGAATGAATCCTGTCCTTTTTTTTTTTTTTAATTTATAGATCATGTACCAAAGAAAAAGACAGTGGGTGCCAAGAAAAAAAAATAATCAGAGCTATCCACTGAATAGCCTTCAGGAAGAGCACTGTAGAGGTATCAGATCATATAGAGTACAAAGAACATGATAAATTAGACACATGTGCAACTCTTGGGTATCTTTATTGAGGAAACGTTTCACCACACAGTGGCTTCATCAGTCCATACAAAGGAGAATTGTGAAGAACGTGTCGGTTCTCTTAACCATTGATCTACACAAAGAACATGAATTGCAGGGTTCTAGTGCACAGAGAGACTTAGTCGAGTAAGCCCTTAAGGCCCCCACACATCCAGCATTTATTTTTGGTGTTCCACATTTTTGTTGACTTTCAACAATTGCCGGCGAGTGAAACACAATTTGAAACCAACAAAAATGTGGAACACCAGTAAGGTTGTGTATATGCAGGGCCCTCCTGTACCTGCATGTTTCACTGACAGGTGAGACTTCAAGTCATGAATGACATCAACTTTCCTGTAACACATCCAAATACAGGCTTTCTCTATTACAAACTTTATACTGCCATCTTAGCATCGCCCGTCATCCTATTATTTTTTAACACTTTAGCAGTCTCCCACTGAGTGAGGCAAGGTAACCCTGAAAAAAATGAAATAATTTAACCATCATTCACACCATCACTGTTTTTGCAAAGGTTCTCAGATACAGCAGTTTAGATGTCATTCCAAACATCCAATATCCTTTTATTATCTTCCCCAATTTCCCTCTTTTTATCTATACAGGAGCCAGACTACAGAGCCAATGGAATCGTCAAGCCGTGTTTGAAGAATCGATCGGTACTGTACTAATATGCAGTCACAACTTTCTTGCTTTTAAACCTCTATACTGCCTAAAGAATCTCTTGAAGAATATGTTAATTAGTGATTTCTGTTTTGTTTTCTATCCTATTTTATTTTGTTTGCATATTATTAGTGAATTTATTTTTTGAAGTGTGTTTTCACCATGATGATTTATTAATCAGTAATAAATATGTAATATTCAGTAATTAACAAATATGGTTATTATATTATAATTTTTAGTTATATTCATAATTGCCATAACTAGTTCGTTTGACATAAAAGCTTTCAAATGTATATGTATGGTTAAGGTTGCAGTTTGCTTCTACACTAACTTCAAAAATACTTAAATCCCCAAATCAGGAATAAAGTGAACCAAGTGTATACACATTGTGAGATACACATCTTCATTTTATACACAGATATGCACCTCTTGGTATATATACACACAGATACCCAGTTCTTGGTCTATAGATATACACCTCAGTGTGTTTATCTGTGTTTAATAGAACATTAAGATTTGTTCATTGTTGAATTTACAGCCCAGGAGTTCTTACCTTGTCTTAGCACATTTCAAAGCCTAGTCCTCTGTGCAGTATGGACCAGGAGCTCTTGTGTCAGCTCATAATTCTTTATAAAAACAGTTATAATCAAGGCTTATGATATTCCATTGGTCGTTGTAATGTACCTTGGACTCGCTGTCTCTCCTAGTAACATTAAGGGCTGGAATGTTTATACATATTTTTTATACATGTTACATAACATTGCAGAAGCATTAACATTAACACTTGTGTTATAATTGCTTGTTAAAAAACATTTTAAAATGTTGCAAATTGTCAAGAGTATTTCTGAAATATTTGAATGTTTAGTAAGCATTATACAGGTGTATACTGTAGCTTTGTCTGAGACCATAGCAGCTGTACCAAGCTTAGTCTAGCCATAATATACAGGTGTATACCATAGCTGTGTCTGAGACCCATAGCAGGTGTACTAGGCAGTCTAGACCATAGCAGGTGTACTAGGCAGTCTAGACCATAGCAGGTGTACTAGGCAGTCTAGACCATAGCAGGTGTACTAGGCAGTCTAGACCATAGCAGGTGTACTAGGCAGTCTAGACCATAGCAGGTGTACTAGGCAGTCTAGACCATAGCAGGTGTACTAGGCAATCTAGACCATAGCAGCTGTACTAGGCAGTCTAGACCATAGCAGGTGTACTAGGCAGTCTAGACCATAGCAGCTGTACTAGGCAGTCTAGACCATAGCAGGTGTACTAGGCAGTCTAGACCATAGCAGCTGTACTAGGCAGTCTAGACCATAGCAGCTGTACTAGGCAGTCTAGACCATAGCAGCTGTACTAAGCTCAATCTAGCCATAAACAGTTAATTCTGCATAATACTTTGTGTGTGCTTTCTTTAATAATAATAATTTTTATTTCAGAACATTTTACAAATGCATAGTATTTCAGGCAAACACAAACTAGAACTAAGACTACATTGTTTTTCTTAATGGGTCTAGTACAAGGTATTGACAATTACAGTAGAACCCCCTTATCCATGGATTCTGCTTCACTTATCCATGGTGTACCGTGCCACTAAAAATAACCTTTAATTTTCCTTAATGATGGTCCCAAAGTGCAAAAGTAGTGATGGTGGCAGTTCTTCAAAGCCTAAGAGAAACCATGTACTACTTCCCATCAGTGAAAAAGTGCTAATTCTTGACTTATTCTGTGTAATTTACAAATTAAACTTTATCGTAGGTATGTATGTAAGCGAAAAATGACATATAGCACAGTGGACCCTCGACCAACGATGGCGTCGATTAACATTCATTCATTAGAGATTTTCCGGTACTTCCGGCCCGGGTCTTCTCCAGATGGTGACCCGGCGGTGGCCCCCGGGGTGGGGGTGTCGTTCGTCTTCTTCATTCTTCTATCTTCTCTCTTGGGCCCTCCAGTTGGAGGGTAACTTCTTCTATCTTGCATGGACTCCCCCAGTGAGGAGTGTCTTCTTGCTTGGGATCTTCAGTGTCACAGTTGGGCAGAGGCAGAAAACAGGGTCCCATTGGAGCCACACCCCAACTTTAACAGACTGCAAAGTGCTGGGGAAACTTGTCTTGATAGTAGTGCTAGAGGGGGGGTACCATCTGGAGGTATAAGCCTGTTCCTCAGTGCTACGTGGTCGATTCCAGCGTTGTTGAGGGCGGTGTAGAGACGGTTGGCAAAGCGTTCCAAGTTGGGTGACAAGATGTCGTTGATGTCTTGCTCACATTCTGGAGTTCGCATTGGGTTCTTCTCGTTGGTTGTGCAGTGTCCACCACTCTTGCCCTTGGCTTCTTGTTGCCGTGGGGGATTGATAGTGGCCTGGGGAGCTGCAGCCCTTGGTTCTTGAGTCTTGGCAGTCTTGGCCTTGGCTCCTTGTTGCGGTGGAGGAGTGCTAGCGGTATGGGTAGTTGCAGCCCTTGGTTCTTGAGTTTTAACTTTCTTGGCTGGTGGTTGAAGTGTCAGAGGCAAGGCCTCGGCGGTGGCAGTGGAGGCAGGCGGTGGTGGACTCTGATTGGTGGGATTTGCCGACGTATCAGTGGTCTCAGATTGGTCCATCTCAATGTCGAGTGGAGGTTGTGTCAGTGGTGGAACAGCAGTTATGCTGGCAATATTTGCCAGCCGACTAGCGATACATTTTAACGCAAAATTTTTGCCTCGACTAGCGCTAAAAACTCGACCAACACTATTCGTTCCGTCTGAGACGCGTCCACTTCTGGCCAGTGTTTACAAGCCAACCAGCCACCGCGGTCACTTCCAAGCATACAATCGGAACATTTCATATTATCACAGCCTTTTTAGTGATTGCACCTGCAAAATAAGTCACCATGGGCCCCAAGAAAGCTTCTAGTACCAACCCTACAGCAAAAAGGGTGAGAATTACTATGGATATGAAGAAAGAGATCATTGCTAAGTATGAAAGTGGAGTGCGTGTCTCCGAGCTGGTCAGGTTGTACACAAAACCCCAATCAACCATCGCTACTATTGTGGCCAAGAAAACGGCAATCAAGGAAGCTGTTCTTGCCAAAGGTGCAACTATGTTTTCGAAACTGAGATCGCAAGTACTCGAAGATGTTGAGAGACTGTTGTTGGTGTGGATAAACGAAAAACAGATAGCAGGAGATAGCATCTCTCAAGCGATCATATGTGAAAAGGCTAGGAAGTTGCATGACGATTTAATTAAAAAAATGCCAGCAACTAGTGGTGATGTGAGTGAATTTAAGGCCAGCAAAGGTTGGTTTGAGAGATTTAAAGGGAAGGGAAGTAACCCCGGAAAAGGACTTGCCACCTCAAGTCCTAATGGAAGGGGATTCCCCTTCTAAACACTAAGACCATCAACACTCCCCTCCTCCCATCCCATCAGTCATCACCAGATCTTCAATAAAGGTAAGTGTCATGTAACTGTGCATGTCTTCTTCAGTTTGTGTGTATTAAAATTAATATTTCATGTGGTAAAAACAATTTTTTTTTCATACTTTGGGGTGTCCTACACGGATTAATTTGATTTCCATTATTTCTTATGGAGAAAATTAACTTGACTAACGATAATTTTGACTAACGATGAGCTCTCAGGAACAGATTAATAGCATTAGTCGAGGGTACACTATATAGGGTTTGCTGCTATCCGCAGTTTCGGGTATCCGTGGTAGGTCTCGGAATGTATTACCCGTGGATACAGGGGGACTACCGTATTTACCATGGGGTTAAAGGTAGATAGGTAATGAAATATTGATACTGTATTAGAGGCATACATGTAAATGCAGTTACTGTACATGGGACACTTATTGACACATTTTTGCCCACACAGTAAACTCTCAAGTTACAAACAGATGACGCTCTCTTCACAAGTGATGTTTCATCAGTAAAGGTTCTGTGTAATTGTTTGTATTTCTTTATCATCCATGTGAGGTACTAATTATTTTGTGTTAATTAAACATTACTCTATTATAGTTTGGAAACTTATGGTGCCATTGTTTGTTATATTTCTTAAGGAAAAATTATTTGATGTCTTAGGGAAAAATTGCTTGACGTCTTAGGGAAAAATTGCTTGATTTTTAGGGAAAAAATTACTTGTTGTGTGAGGGAAAAAAAATTGCTTGATGTTGTAGGGGAAAATTTGCTTGATGTGGTCTGATGTTATGTCATTATTTTTCATTTAATATTATCAATCTCCAACAGATGGAAAAATTTAAAAGACAAACAAAAGAGGAGAAAGCTGACTGTGATCTGAGGCAACTTCTTAACTACTCTGATGTGTCAGATACAGAGACTATACGAGGCAAGAACACTTGGAGGAGGACCAGAGAAAGTGAGTGTGATAATGACAACACGAGGAAGTTTTTTAACACGTTGGCCATCTCCCCGAGGCGGGTGACCCGAAAAGAAATGAAAAACTTTCATCATTCAACACTTTCACCATCATTCATACATAATCACCGTCTTTGCAGAGGTGCTCAGATATGACAGTTTAGACAGATATACAGTTTAGTAAGTACATGTAATTGCTTGAAATGACCTGGATGAGTTTGGGAGTGAGCGTCAGCTGTTAGTACTGCCTTTTTAACCTTTGATAAATTAGACACCTGTGCAACATCTGGGTATCTTGTAGATGTTTTGCCATTCAATGGCTTTATCAGTACATGGACATAAAGCTTTATCAATGTAATATATGAGCATAAAGTCACTGGATGGTGAAACATCTACAAGTAAATATACTTAAATGTTGTATATGTGTCTAAATCGTCATGTTGTCAGTATTAAATACCACTGATACACATTTTAACTTTGGATTGACTGACATGATTGGATCCCTTTTCAAATTCAAATTTAGATTTTTTTTTTTTTTTTTTTTTTAACAAGTCTGCTGTCTCCCACTGAGGCAGGGTGACCCAAAAAGAAAGAAAATTCCCAAAAAGGAAATACTTTCATCATCATTCATCACTTGCACCACACTCACACATAATCACTGTTTTTGCAGAGGTGTCCAGAACACAACAGTTTAGAAGCATATACGTATAAAAATACACAATATATCCCTCCAAACTGCCAATATTCCAAACCACTCTTTAAAGTGCAGGCATTGTACTTCCCATTTCCAGGACTCAAGTCCGGCTATATAAAAATAACCGGTTTCCCTGAATCCCTTCACTAAATATTACCCTGCTCACACTCCAAGAGATCGTCAGGTCCCAAATACCATTCGTCTCCATTCACTCGTATCGAACACGCTCACGCATGCCTGCTGGAAGTCCAAGCCCCTTGCCCACAAAACCTCCCTTACCCCTTCCTTCCAACCTTTTCGAGGACGACCCCTACCCCGCCTTCCTTTCCCTACAGATTTAAACGCTCTCCATGTCATTCTACTTTGATCCATTCTCTCTAAATGACCAAACCACCTCATGTAGCACAAAAATAATGTAGTGTACAAATGGTTGTTAGGACTTGACAGGCTGTTGGAGTGTAAGCTAGGTATCATTTTGTGAAGGGATTCTGGGGAACCAGTTAGCCGGGTTTGAGTCCTGGAGGTGGGAGTACAGTTCCTGCACTTTGAAGGAGGGGTGGGGATGTTCCGGTTTGAAAAACATTGTTAGACATGAAAGAAAGCAACTAGTATGCAATGTATTTCAGGCAAACTAATCCTAATGCTTTAAAAATAACTTAAGAATTAGTTATAGACTATTAAGTAGGATTTCATAGGTAGGATTTTCTTATTCAAGCTGTATATGAAGTCTGCTTCTATTGTGTCATTCTTTAGCTTATTCCATGTCTTCACCAGGGTTTGCCCAAAATGCTCTGCATACTAAAAATTCAAAATTCAGAATTTTTTTTTCTTTGGATAGTAGACAATGTGTAGTTTACATGTAATAAAATATTGTTAAACACAAGGAAACCCACTAGCATGCATGAGCACTTCAGGTACACTAATCCTAATGCTTACACACAACCCTTTGACTGTTTTGGTCATATATATATGTGTTATGAGCCAATGTGTTTGACGTATATATACTCAAAAATTCTAGCGGCTTCAAATCAAGTGGGGGAAAGCTGGTAGGCCCACATGTGAGAGAATGGGTCTGTGTGGTCAATGTGCACTGTATAAAAAAAATCCTGCAGCACGCAGTGCATAACGAGAAAAAAAACTCCGACCGTGTTTTTGGATTCAAGTGCCAATTTTGAGGTGTATTTTCATGTAGTATTTATGGTTGTATTCTCGTTTTCTTGGTCTCATTTGATAGAATGGAAAACATGTTACAGAGATAGAGATGATTTTGATTGGTTTTATTATGAAAAGAACCTTGAAATGGAGCTCAAAGTAGGGGAAATGTTTTATTTTTGCTGATGTTAAAAAGTAAACAAATGACAGCATTGTCCAATAAATGTCCAACTAGCCATTCTAATATGTAGTCATGAATGGGTTGACATTATTTATACAATTATTACAGTAAATCTTCTATTTTTTGTTTACCTCGAGTTTACCTGGAGAGAGTTCCGGGGGTCAATGCCCCCGCGGCCCGGTCTGTGACCAGGCGGCCTGGTGGATCAGAGCCTGATCAAGCAGGCTGTTAGTGCTGGCTGCACGCAATCCAACGTACGAGACACAGCCCGGCTGGTCATGTACCGACTTTAGGTGCTTGTCCAGTGCCAGCTTGAAGACTGCCAGGGGTGTATTGGTAATCCCCCTTATGTATGCTGGGAGGCAGTTGAACAGTCTTGGGCCCCTGACACTTATTGTATTGTCTCTTAACGTGCTAGTGACACCCCTGCTTTTCATTGGGGGGATGTTGCATCATCTGCCAAGTCTTTTTCTTTCGTTGTTAGTGATTTTCGTGTGCAAGTTCAGTACTAGTCCCTCTAGGATTTTCCAGGTGTATATAATCATGTATTTCTCCCGCCTGCATTCCAGGGAATACAGGTTCAGGAACTTCAAGCGCTCCCAGTAAATGAGGTGTTTTATTTCTGTTATGCGCGCCATGAAGGTTCTCTGTACATTTTCTTGGTCAGCAATTTCACCTGTCTTGAAAGGTGATGTTAGTGTGCAGCAATATTCCAGCCTAGATAGAACAAGTGACCTGAAGAGTGTCATCATGGGCTTGGTATCTCTAGTTTTGAAGGTTCTTATTATCCATCCTGTCATTTTTCTAGCAGATGTGATTGATACAATGTTATGGTCCTTGAAGGTGAGATCCTCTGACATGATCACTCCCAGGTCTTTGACATTGGTTTTTCGCTCTATTTTGTGGAAGGAATTTGTTTTGTACTCTGATGAAGTTTTAATTTCCTCATGTTTACCATATCTGAGTAATTGAAATTTCTCGTCGTTGAACTTCATATTGTTTTCTGCAGCCCACTGAAAGATTTGGTTGATGTCTGCCTGGAGCCTTGCAGTGTCTGCAATGGAAGACACTGTCATGCAGATTCGGGTGTCATCTGCAAGGGAAGACACGGAGCTGTGGCTGGCATCCTTGTCTATGTCAGATATGAAGATGAGAAACAAGATGGGAGCGAGTACTGTGCCTTGTGGAACAGATCTTTTCACCGTAGCCGCCTCAGACTTGACTCTGTTGACTACTACTCTTTGTGTTCTGTTAGTGAGGAAATTATAAATCCATCTACCAACTTTTCCTGTTATTCCTTTAGCACGCATTTTGTGCGCTATTACGCCATGGTCACACTTGTCGAAGGCTTTTGCAAAGTCTGTGTATATTACATCTGCATTCTTTTTGTCTTCTAGTGCATCTAGGACCTTGTCGTAGTGATCCAGTAGCTGAGAAAGACAGGAGCAACCTGCTCTAAACCCATGTTGCCCTGGGTTGTCTAACTGATGGGTATCTAGATGGGTGGTGATCTTGCTTCTTAGGACCCTCTCAAAGATTTTTGTGATATGGGATGTTAGTGCTATCGGTTTGAATAAAAATTCAAAATAGAAAGCAAGAGTAATATCAGAGGGGCCTGGAGACATGACTGATGAGCAAAGAAAATGTTATTTTAGAGCCAGAAATGTCTGCATTATTCATTCTCGACCCTATTTTGAAATTGTCAAATTTTTTAATATGTGTGAAATTGGCCAAATTGCCAATTTCTGACCACTTTATTGGGTAGCTGAAATCATAAATGGGCAGTTTCTTGTACTCAGTCGATAGAACAAATAGAGTTCTAAAGAAATAGCTATGAGTTTGGTCAACTGGAACAATGGAATTAGCTGAAAATAGGGCTTAAATTTGGTGAAATCGCCAATTCGTAAATATTGCCGAGGTCGCTAATTTTACAAGAGCATAATTTGGTAAGTTTTCCATCAAATAATTTTTTTTTTTTTTTTTTTTTCAAGTATTTTGTGACCCCAGGAGAGACCCCAGGATTGGGGGTTGCGACAGTCGAAGGGTTAAAACTAGACATCTCTGTATAAACATTATAACATGCTAAAATATATAATCTGAATCTTTTTTTTTTTTAGCACTTTGGCCATTTTCCACCAAGGCAGGGTGACCCAAAAAGAAAGAAAAAAAAAACTTTCACGAGTCAACGCTTTCACCATCATTCATACATAATCACTGTCTTTGCAGAGGTGATCATATATAACAGTTTACATGTCTCTCCAAACTGCCAATTTCCCAATCCCCTCCTTTAAAGTGCAGGCATCTGAATCTTGTGTTGAAAAAATGTAAGTTGCAAGACACGCCATATATTTTTCAGGCAAAGCACGAAGTCGTGGTGAGGAGAGTATGGCAGAGATGATGGCCGACGGTGATGACGCTCTGTTAGATTCACTGGTCAAGACAGCTACTCAGGGGCCATCCTCTCGTTCTACTCCCAGAGATAGAAAAAGATCACGACATGCAGATCGCAAGTCTTGTAAGTGCATTTGCATCTCACTGCTTATTTTTTAATTATCATTCGAGTTTGGGGGAAGAGCAGGGTGAGGTGCAGCTCTTAGTCCTGTGTCTTCTGACAGACTGACGTAAGTGAGTCCTGTTATATCTATTTATGGTGATCATTCCACTTCTTTACACTATTATGTTGAAGAAATGCTTTTTGATATAATGTAAGTGGTGTATATTTAATGTATACAGTATGACTCGCTTCACTACTAGGGTATAAGTTTCAATATGATTTGGTTCACTGGAAGAATTCTTATGCTTTTGTATTACAGTTGTATTTCTGTTTATTCTCATTTTCATAATACAGTGATACCTCAGGATACAAATTTATTTCGTTCCAGAAGGCTGTTCGAGTGCCGATACCAAACGAATTTGTTCCCGTAAGGAATAATGTAAACTAGATTAGAACGTTTCAGACCCCCAAAAATACACTTACATAAATACACTTAGATAATTGTTTGAGTTTTGAGCTGTTCGTATCACGAGGTACCACTGTATTTATTTATTTATTTTAAACAGTTGCATTAAAAGTTCGATCGTTGACCCTACTGAGGCTTGGTTGGCTTCAAGGTTATCTGCTATTGATTCTGGAAATTATCTTCCTCACAGCCTGGTCTCAGACTAAGCCTCCTAGGATGTAATGGAAATGTTTAGGCACATTATGTAGATGTGGTACAATATACAGGTACACCTTGACTTCTGATATTTCAGCTTTATGATGGTGCAAAAGTTATTTCTTTGGAGACAAAGCTTGAGGTAGTTACCCAGCAGGAAGGTGGCAAGTCCATAACTTGTATTCATTTATTTACTAATACTGGTATTTAGTTTGTTAAAGTAATTATTTGTATATTCACTTATTCAGTGACTAGTTATTTATTTATGCATTTATTTAGCATATCATATTCAGCATACGATATTTTTGACTTACGATGGGATCGTCAGACTGTAACCCCATTGTAAGTCAAGAAGCACCTGTATGTATTATAAAATGATTGAATTATAGATATGCCATATTTTTAGCACATGGCCATTTCTCACTATGGGAAGGTGATGCAAAGAAAGAAAACACATTGACCATCACTCATTCCTTGGCTGTCTCTCCAGAAGTGCATGGATATTAAATTAATCCTTTGAACCACTGGAATGTGAGCATGGTAATACAGTACTCCTGTATAGATATTACTATGGAAGTGTCAGCCCCCAAATAAATACAACAATACTGTGTCAAGACAAGTCCCATTAGCCCTCTCTTCCAACCAGATGGCCACTCCTTAGCCCCTCCTTATACTGTTGCAGTATAAGGGAGTTAAGCCTGCAGGATGAGTGGGAAGGCATCACAGACTTAAGATATCACCTGGTTTCAAAAATTTATTTATTTTGATGAGGTTTTTAGGCATATATGCGTACATAAATATACTGTATATAGTATGTGCAAGTGGATGACAAGAAATAAAGACATCTTAATACAGTGGACCCCCGGTTAACGATATTTTTTCACTCAATAAGTATGTTCAGGTGCCAGTACTGACCGAATTTATTCCCATAAGGAATATTGTGAAGTAGATTATTCCTTTCAGAACCCCAAACATACACGTACAAACGCACTTACATAAATACACTTACATAATTGGTCGCATTTGGAGGTAATCGTTATGCGGGGGTCCACTGTACACACTTTAAACACTTTGAAAAAGGATTGTACTAGCGCTTTGGTGATCATGAAAGTACTTGGAGTTTAATTCCCTTTTAAATATATGTATGTGCAGTATTTAAATATATGTGTATGTGTGAGTGTGTATAGCATATAAATATATGCATACATTATGTATATTCATATATGGAGTCTTTAGACACCTACTATATGAGGTTGCTTATACAGTAGTACATTTGGCACACTAACAAACAATATATAATAATTAATAATAATAAGTAAGGTGTTCACAAATACTTAATAATAATAATATGTTCACAGACACTTATTAATAATAACAAGTAAGGTGTTCACACTTATTAATGATGATAATAATAATATATTCACACATTAATAATAATTTATTCACACAATAATAATAAGTAAAGTCTTCTTGCAGAAACTCGTCTATATAGTTGTCAGCACAGAAATTGTTGCTTCATTTTATACTTATTATTTCTGTTCACTTCTGTTATTTTACTTACTAATTCTTCCACAGCTTGCATATGTTTTTTTGGTTTCATATCTACTTGTGTGAAGGACGACAGTTGTTATTCTCAGTAATGGCTTAATAGTACTGCTGGCCACCAAATTGCAGAGTTACAGTGACAAATCTAAAATCCACAAATATTAAATAATCATGACTGTAGAGTAAATTTTTTCTTCTGATTTGTACTCATTTTGGATTTTGGAGGACATGTGCTTTCATGTATTATAATTGTATTCAAGATTACTGATTATAAAAAAGAATGCCAGAGTCTTGTTAGTGAAGTGATCTTTGTATGTAATTATTGTATCTTCAAGCACTTAAGTTATCTTACTCAGCGTAGCCACTGAGGCAGGGTAGCCACCGAGGCAGGGTAGCCACCGAGGCAGGGTAGCCACCGAGGCAGGGTAGCCACTGAGGCAGCGTAGCCACCAAGGCAGGGTGGCCACTAAGGCAGGGTATCCACTGAAGTAGGGTAGCCACCGAGGCAGGGTGGCCACCGAGGCAGGGTGGCCACCGAGGCAGGGTGGCCACCAAGGCAGGGTGGTCACTAAGGCAGGGTAGCCACCGAGGCAGGGTAGCCACCGAGGCAGGGTAGCTACCGAAGAAGGGTAGCCACCGAGGCAGGGTAGCCACCGAGGCAGGGTAGCCACCAAGGCAGGGTAGCCACCAAGGCAGGGTAGCCACCAAGGCAGGGTAGCCACCAAGGCAGGGTAGCCACCAAGGCAGGGTAGCCACCAAGGCAGGGTAGCCACCAAGGCAGGGTAGCCACCAAGGCAGGGTAGCCACCAAGGCAGGGTAGCCACCAAGGCAGGGTAGCCACCAAGGCAGGGTAGCCACCAAGGCAGGGTTGCCACCAAGGCAGGGCTGCCACCAAGGCAGGGTTGCCACCAAGGCAGGGTAGCCATCAAGGCAGGGTAGCCACCAAGGCAGGGTAGCCACCAAGGTAGGGTAGCCACCAAGGCAGGGTTGCCACCAAGGCAGGGTTGCCACCAAGGCAGGGCTGCCACCAAGGCAGGGTTGCCACCAAGGCAGGGTAGCCACCAAGGCAGGGTAGCCACCAAGGCAGGGTAGCCACCAAGGTAGGATAGCCACCAAGGCAGGGTAGCCACCAAGGCAGGGTAACCACCAAGGCAGGGTAGCCACCAAGGCAGGGTAACCACCAAGGCAGGGTAGCCACCAAGGCAGGGTGGTCCAGAAAGAAAGACAAAAGTTTCTCTTATTAACTTCAGTAGTATAGTACGTAAGACAAGGGGTTACTAGCCCCTTGCTCTCAATCTTGGTAAATATATTTGTTTATCGTTTATATGGAAAGAAAACACGTTTGGGCTCGAGAAGTCCAGTGAGCTTATTTGGAATGAAATTTTGTAGTTAGTTTTCAGTGTTCAGTAAGTGTCGTGAACATGTGTATTTATAAGTACACCTCAATAAACTGTTTGCCTGACAGATTCGAGAATTGCTGGGACGGGCAGATGGTGCCCGTTGCCATACTGAGAAAAGAAAAAGAATTGGCTAAATTATTGTGCTTTTCCAAACTTTAATGATTGGCCTGGAAACTCACAGGACTTGTATCCCATAGAAAATGTTTGGAAACTTATTAAGCGTCAGGTATTAAGCAGGTGTGGGAAGATATTAACTTATCTGTCCTACATAAGTTAGCCTTGTCAGTTCTTAGGAGACTTAAGAAGTGCATCGAGAGACAGGCTAATCCTACAAAATAATAGTTTAGGAGAGGAACACATACATATTTCAGTATTTTTTCAATATACTAGTCATCTCCTACCAAGAAGAAAACCTCTTAAAGCATTTTTTTTTTTTTTACATTTAGTAATTTATACAAGAGAAAAGTTTACATGTACTAGCCCATTGCTCTCGGCATTTTAGTCATCTCGTACAACACGCATGGCTCATGGAGGAAAGATTCTTGTCCACCTCCCCATGGTGATATTTCAGTATTATATGTTTAAAACAATGGATTATGGTAAGCAGTCTCATTTTCTGTGTGATCTGTTATGTACATGCATATTTATGATGCCCAGTGTAGGGACCAAGCATCAAGTTTAAAGAGAGTGGGCTCGGAAAAAATCTTTGAATAATCAAATTTCTTTGTGGATTGAATATAAGTAAAAATGTTTGATAATTGATTTCCATTTGTTTGAAAAGCCACAAATTTGGGGGTCCAGCTGTACCGTACTAGGGTTATTTATTTAACAGTCTGTTCTAATTTATATATTATTTTTAGCTTTCTTTTGCATCTGGGCTTGGCTTATATTACATCTCCATCTCATTTACAGTGTATAAGTGCAATTTGCAGGCAGTGCTTTGCATGTTAACCAGCAGCAAATTCTCTTTGCACAGTGAAGCGGTCCAGAACTCGGGATCGGAACCTCATAAATGAACTGGAAGCTCTTCAGCAAGTTCAGGAACTCCACGTTGATTAGTATTCCTTCCTCAACTCTCTCTTTACCTCTTTATTTCTTTAGTAAGCTATACTAATTTGTGGTTTACAGCCATGTGATCACTTAGGTTTCTAGTGTGAGAGCCATAATTGTTTGAAGGCAATATGCTAGCTCGAGTTAGAGAACTAATTTGTGAATGTGTTGTTTTTATTCCAGAATTGCAACTAATGAATTGAATTTTGGATTTTTATTAATTCTGACTCACAGATTCGTAATAACACAATTACAAACAAACCACTGAATGAGTTTTATGACTCACTCACCATGGGTTTAAACTCCAACCTGTTCTATGGTTTGTTTCTTATTAAATCTATTTAAGTGGAAAAGTCAATATTTAG